GACCAGTCCCTGCCCTGAAAGGGGGAGGTGTGGGAGCTTGCAGACGCATCAGCAGTGGAGCAGGGACGACAGGGCCAGAGCAGCTAAGTACCTTCCAAGGAGGGAAGTCTAGGGAGACCTAGCAGGAGCAGCCAAGCAAGGGACGGGATGGCCGGTGGCCCCCTCTGGTTCCTGCCCACTTCATAGGCTGTGGGTGAGGCCACTGGCCGCTCTGCCTGGTGGGAGTATGTGTCCTAACACGGCTGAAGCAGGAGGCAAATTTAGGCTCTGGAAGTGGCCATGGTGCCGGGAAGGGGGGAGTCTCGAACCCCTCCTTCCTAGGCCGCTTTGTCCTTGTGAGCTCACTCCTGTAAGCGTGGCTGAGCGCCTGCCTTGTGCCAGGCTGGGCAGTGTTGGGCCCGACAGAACTGACCCAGAGATGGGGGTGAAGGACAGTCCTGGCCTCTCCCCACTGGGCCGCCAGGTGGAAGGGCTTCAGCACAGGGGAGCCGCCCCCCCAGTTCCTTCTGCTTCTGATCCCCTTTCTCTAGCCCAGTACAGCAGCCACGAGTGGTTTCCCAGGACCTTTGGGCTGATGCCTGATGCAGGGAGGACGGGGAGCAATTCCAGGGGACCCAGAAAAAGCACGTCTCCCTTTCGTGGCTACTCTGGCCTCAACTCACGTCCAGGTGACGTGTGGCCTTCCAGCTGGGTGAAGCTGTAAGGAGGGTGTCCTTTTTTCTGGTCTTCCTCTCCCAAGGTAGAAGGGACAAGCCACACAAACGCTGAAGGGGGACCTTGCAGGCAAGAAGGTGCTGGCCCTTCGGCTCCCCACCCCTAGTGTTATTTGGACAATAAAAGGAAAGAAGCGGTGACACATATGACAGCATCGATCAACCCTGAGAACATGCCAAGTGGAGCAGGTCAGATCCCAAAGGACAATTATTGTATTTTATCATTTATTTTTATTAGTGACAAGAAGATGTTACTTTATTTTTTTTCTTTCATTAAGATTTAAGGGTTTTTTTTGGAGGGGGGGGTGTAGGTGGATCAGTCAATTGAGCGTCTGACTTTGGCTTAGATTGTGATCTCACAGCTTGTGAGTTCGAGCCCCACAGCAGCTCGCTGGTGTCAGCTCAGAGCCTGCTTCGGATGCTCTGTCCCCCTTTCCCTGTGTTCCTCCCTTGAAAATAAATAAAACATTTTTTAAAAAAAGATAAGGATATTTTTTCTTTAAAAATTTTTTTAATTCTAGGGGCACCTGGGTGGCTCAGTAAGTTGAGTGTCTGTTTAGGCTCAGGTCTTGATCTTGCAGTTCCAGAGTTCAAGCCTCTACATTGGCGGGGGGTCATTGCTGCTGTCAGTGCACAGCCTTTCTCTCTGTCTCAAAAATAAATAAATATATTTTAAAAAATCCCAAACCCCTTCTCCCTTTAAAAAAATAAATAAATAGGGGTGCCTGGGTGGCTCAGTCAGCTAAGCGTCCGACTTCGGCTCAGGTCATGATCTCACAGTTCATGGGTTCGAGCCCCGCATCGGGCTCTGTGCTGACAGCTAGCTCAGAGCCTGGAAGTTGTCTTCGGATTCTGTGTCTCCCTCTCTCTCTGACCCTCCCCTGCTCACGCTGGCATCTCTCTCTCAAAAAATAAATTAATTAAATAAATAAAGAAAAAACATTTTAAAAATTAAAATAAATAAATAAATAATAAATATGAAATTTTAATTACATTATAGTTAGCATACAGTGTTGCATTAGTTTCATGGGACAATTATTTTAGATTCTATTTGTATGAATTCTCTAGAATTGGCAGATGCATAGACACAGAAAGTAGGTTAGAGGTAGCCAGGGGCTGTGGGGGAGGGAAATGGCAGCAACTGTAATGGATGTGGTTCCTGTCAGAGGCAATGAAAGAGATTTGGAAATAGCGGTGACAGTTGCACAACTTCGTGAAAGTAATTAATGCCATTGAATTATATACTTAAAACTGGTTTAAATGCCAAGTTTTACACTGTGTGTGTGTGTGTGTGTGTGTGTGTGTGTCCCCTCAATAAAATTTTTTTAAACATTTAAAAAAGGCCACAAAGCCAAGCAAAATGCCTCCTGGTCAGATTCAGCCTCCACAATGAAATCTGACACAGCGATTGGAGGCAGGAGAGGCTGGGGGTGAGGTGGGAGTCTGGGATCCGCAGGGTCAGAAGGATGGAGAAGAACTAGCAGAGAATGTAAGGGGAAACTGAGGCTTGAATTTGCGTCCAGCAGCCCGCGTAGTCTGTACCAATCAGACACCAAGCCCCACCTTAGCACTGTCCCCAACTCCGTCCCCACTGTCCCTGTCCCGTCCAGTCCACCTCATCCTGCGCTGGCTTCCTCCACTTTGACCTTTGATCCATCTTCAATTGGCCTCGGTGGTGACCCTTCTAGAACCTGGATCTGACCACATGTCTCTCCTGCTTAAAGTCCGTCTGCAGCTCCCCACTGCCTCTGCTCAGCCTTGCAGGCGACGCTGTTCCCAGCTGACTCCAACCTGCTTTTCCTGCTTCGCAGTCCTCATGTTCCCGAGCTCCGAGTTCCTTTATGTCCATAGCCATTTTTGCATACCTTCCGTGCGGCAATTCATAAATGTTACCCCTAATTTCCCCCACAACTCTGCAAGGTCGGTACCATTGACTTGATTTTAGAGATGGAGAAACTGAGTCTCAAACAGGCTAGGTCAGACTCAGGTCTATGCTCTTTGAGATGTGTTGGCTCCTCTCTGTCATTTCCTGGCCGCCCAGCCTTTGTTTATGCGCGAGCATAATAAGCCTGTCAGCCCCCAGCAGCGGGCTGATCAATTCCAAGGGCTAAAGGTCCCAAAGCTTCTTCCGACTCATGTGGCTGCCGCTCTTCAGATCGACAGGCACCTTGGTGGACATCGCGACCTTAGCACCAGGTGGACGCAAGCCACCCACCGAGACCATGGCCTCCCGCTGCCTCCTCTCACCACCTCAGCCGGAAACACCAGATCCACAGGGCAATTTTCCGTCACCAAAATTTGCCAAGAGGTTGAGGGATTGCAGATGATGACAAAGTGGCCATCAGTCTCCTTTGGGAGGGTCCAAGCCAAGGTCCCTTTTTTTTTTTTTTAAGTAAACTCTACCCCCAACATGGGACTCGAACTCATGGCCCTTAGATCAAGAGTCACATGCTCCACTGAGAGCCAGCCAGGCACCCCAAAGGTCCCTTAACAGGTTCTCTTGGCAGGCCTAGATGGCTCAGTTGGTCGAGCATCCAATTCCTGATTTTGGCTCGGGTCATGGTCTTGAGGTTCAGGGGATCGAATCCCAAGCAGGCTCTGCACCATCAGTGTAGAGCCTGATGTGGGATTCTCTCCCTCCCTCTCTCTCTGTACCTCACCTGCTCACCTGTGCATGCTCCCTCTCTCAAAATAAATAAACATTAAAAAAGAAAGAGAGGTTCCCTCTACCAGGGCTGACTGGTTTCCTACCCTTCTCCATGTCCTGCTCCCCCAACTCGACCCTGCACACTGCATTTCCCTCAGGCTTGTCCGGGCTTGGCGTTCCCTCCAGCCCACAGGAGCCCAGCTCTCTGAAGAGGACTTGTGCTGTCACGTGAGCTGAGATCAGGTTGAGACGACTTGCTGGGCTAACTGGGCTCTGAGAGGCGGGGAGCCCCGAGCCCGGCTGGAAGGCCCTACCTCCCAGGCCAGCTCTGCACACCTCCCCTCCCGCTTCCAGAATTTCTGATGAGACAGGGCATGTGGAAGGGGTCATCGCAGGCACGGGCGGGGGATCCCTGGGGACCATGCGACAAGGCAGCCAGTGGCACTGCGGCCAGTGAAACGGACTGCGCTCCTGTGACGGCTTTCTGGGCATGCGGGGAAGGGACGGGGGAGGCTGACAGAGCTCGGCGAGAGGCTTGCGTGGGGCTTGCTCAGCATCACAGCACGCTGTCCCCGCCGGGTCCCGGGCTGGGGGTCTCCTGGGATCCATCCAGGTCCCGGGCAACTGGATGGGGCAGTCTTAGATCCCTCGGTGCCCGTTTGGGCCCCTCCCGCCCCAGGACCAGCGTGGTGGCCTTGCCTTCTCCTCCCCCAGGGCCACCCCGCACCCTGACCTGCCAGCCCACAGCTCCTCCACACTGAGCTCCTCCCCGCAGCCGTCCCAGAAGAGCCTTCCGGTCCTCGGAGGTGGTCCTGGGAGCCTCAGATGGAGGAGGCCAGGTGGGGAGCACAGCCTGAGGGATGCGGTGAGCACCCCCCCTCAGCCTTGGGGTTCACAGTCCCTAAGCTCTCCTCTTCTCGTCAAAGGATTGGTTCGGACCGGGCTAATTCGTCTTCTGCATATGGCCCGGGGAGGGGGAGAGCCCTTGAGAACCCAGCCCCAGGTTCTCCAAGGGGGCGATGGAGGAGTCCGTGGAGGGGAGCACTCCCGGGGGAGGCCCTGGGTGCTCCAGCCCAACGTCTCTCCTCAGGACCACAGAGGGGAAGGGCCTGGAGCGGGAGCCGGAAGGAAGCAGAGACGCCACAGGGACTCGAACCCCGGCCCGGCAGCACCAGGCGTGCCACCACTGGCGCCTTTTGCTTTTTCCTGCTCGCCTTCTCACAGACTCAAAGGTGAAAAGCAAAACCTGAACGCGGCCATGGGCCGCGTCCAGTAAAAGAAACACCTGCGGCGGCTCCGGGCCTCCCTCCCTCCCAGGTTCGCCCTCCCTGCCCTGACAGCCCTGTCAAAGGCGCAGCCAGGGGGATGCGTGTCCCCTTGGCCTCATGGCCGCACGTTTCCTGTTGTGCTAGATGCACACCCCAGCTGCAGGAGCTCACGAAGCCCGGGGGAAAACTGAACCACGAGTTATGGTCCCGCTCCCTAGAGGGCAGTGTCAGCAGTAACATGTCTTCGTATGTAGATGGAAATTTCCAGAAAGATCCTAAGAAACGAGAGCGGCCACCTCTGTAGCAGAGCTGGATGGGTGAGGGGAGGGGAGGGGAATTTACTTTCACTTTATACCTTTTCCATGGTTTCTATTTTTTTTTTTTTTGATGCTCCAGGTGAGGATCGAACATGGCTCGAATTTTTAACTCTATGCAGACCACTTTTATAATTAAAGGCAAAAATTTCACGTTTGTCATCCAGAACAGGAAGTCTAAGAACTAGAGGAAATTTCAAGCACCCTGGCCTAGCTCAGATGCCAGCGGTGCTCCGATGTGCTGGGCCACACAGCCTGGCCCACTGCGCCCCCCGCCCTCGCCCTCTCCGCCACTGTTGGCTGTGAGGTCCTTCCTGCACAGCTGCCGCTGCCTGAGAACGAAGCACAGCCCCACGCCGGCCTCTGGCCCGGCGTCTGAGTTCCCGCAGAGGACGGTCCGAGTCACCAGGGCCCCAGAGACAGGAGGAACAGGAAGCCCACCCCGGACCCTGGACCAGTTTACCTGCCCCCGGCCACCCTCCCAGCCTGCTGCTCCCGGGCCGGGCGCTGCCTCCTGTGGGCCCACGGCGGGTCCAGTGGGAGCACTCCCAAGTCTGCGGTCCTCCTCCGGGAGTCCTGGCCTGGCCTCTCCTGAGGGGAGGGCCGCTGGACCCCTCCTGCCGACCCCGAGGAGCTCAGGAGCCCGCTTCCAGCAGGGTCCGGAGAAGGCGAGGCTCAGAGGGGGCTGAGACCTGTTCAGAGTCACCCCAGGTCGGGCTGAGAACGGGTCCTACCAGTCCCGAGGGATGCTCTGCAAGCAGAACTAGTCCCGCATCGCTCACACACTCACACTCACACTCACACACACTCACACTCACTCACACACTCACTCACACTCACTCACACTCACTCACACTCACACACTCTCACTCACACACTCACACTCACTCACTCACTCACTCACACTCACACACACACACACACACACACACACACACCCAAGGTCTGAGGACCACCGGGTGGGCTCAGAGCCAGGCTTCCATCCCCCTCACCCATCTCCCTCGCCTCCCCCCCACCTCCTAGCTTGCCCATCTCCCCTCCTGGCCTCGCTTCAGGCTCCAGTCCCCAAACACAGCACAAAGGGCAGGCACTTACTTACTGCAGCAGGAGGGAGGAACCGTGCATAGCCATCTAAGTCCCAACCTGACGAAGCAACAAAGCTCTGGCCTTAAAAGGCCTCAGAAATGGGGGGGCAGTCAAAACAGTCTGTAAGATGAGCAAAGAATTAATTCAACATGTTAGTGACGAGACCCTCAAGGTGTCTGCGGCAGGAAACTCGGAGAGTGACCTACGCAGGGAAATGCGTCCCCGGTGAAAACTGAAATGGCTTCGAGGAAGCACTCCACGCTCACGGTCACAACAGAAACGGCTGTGGTGGCAGGGCGGTGGGCAAAACAGAGTGTACAACCGGCCCCTTGCGACCCTCTGGACCCAGGGCAGTGAGCGAAGAGGACCAAGCAATTCCCGCCCCTTCCCTCCGGCCAGTGGGGACAGGGACCAAACCAAAAGCAGCCTGGGGGTATAAAAGAGGATTTGCCCCAAGACATCTGTGCCGCTGTCATTTAGGGTTACAAAATGCTGGAACCAGCCCACACGAGGTGGCAGTGGCAGGCTCGCACCCTGGAATTCCCCAGAGAATTCAGCCACAACAGGCGGATTATTTCAGCACCAGTCACTGTGTCTACACCGTAGCCTGAAGTGGGAGAAGCAAAATAGCACCCGATCACCACCGTGTAAAACAAACACGTGACATGGGCAGGAAACAAATGAGAGATGGAAAAATGCTTTCAAAATTCAACAGTTGAAAATTCCAACACCCAGGTACTTCATTCAACCGGCCGGTGGGGATGGGGTGGGTCTCCGGCTGCCCTGTCAGCACCAAGCCCTCCCCACAGCAGGGCCGGACCCTCCATGTACCAAACACACTGCAGCAAAACATACAGAACAAAAACTGCTGAGCAGCCCTGGGGGGCTGTGGAGAGAGCGAGGAGTGGTGGGGAAGACGTAATCATGCTTCGCATTACATAGGGACGTCGTGGTTTTGGACTGGACCCAAAACCATCAAAAGGGATGGATCCAGAATACGGGATGTGACAAAGAATACTTTCTTGAGTGTCGTGGAACATTTATAAAAATGATCATACCTTAAGCAGTGAAGAAAAGGAGCCACAGATCCAAAAAAGCAGAAATTGTACCGGGCACTTCCTCAGGTAACCATTCATTAAAACAGAAACTGATTATAATAGTTTAAAATTAAAAAAAAAAAAAAAAAAAACAACCTTCTAAAGACTTGGAAAATTTAAAGCATACTCCTTAAATATGTTCAAATGATATATCAGAACTAAAACCAAAAAGCATATAGGAAATAAGGACAATTAACTCTTCCCAATTATAGACAGGGAGCCTTCGGGTGCTCTATGGGGGACACCCCGAGTCCTCACTGTGGCCCCGCCAGCCCCACCTTGCACTCCTAGCTCCAGCCAGTTCCCTTCACAGCTCAGAGGCTTTGCTCATGCCCTTCCCTCAGCTGGGAATGCTCTTCCTTACAGACTCACCTACCCTTCAAGTGAGAGCTCAAAGGTCTCCCCTGGGTTAGGGCTCTGTCTTCACCCTCAGGCTGCACTCCACCCCCTGTGGCTGTTGTCACACTGTGTTAACTCGTGATCTATATAATCACCATCCGAGACCTGTCCCCCAGGAGAACGGGGGCACCATAGGAAAGCCAGGCCATTTGTCTCACCTGCCTGTGTCTGTGGAGTCCAGCTGGGTATCTGGACATGAAGGAGGTCGTTGGAGTGATCGTTAGAAACTGGACCAGTGTGGACCGACTGGACCAGTGTGGACCGAAGCAACAGCGGTTCGCCAGAGCGTCCCCTCCCGAGGCTCCGGCTGGGCCCTGGCCACTAACTGGCCTCTGGGTGGGGGTGGGAGGCATCAGTTCCCTCCCTGACAGAGGGTCCACACGTCAGCATCTGAGGGCTCTGTCCATGGTCACCATGGGGCTAGAGCAGGACCGCCTCCTGCCTCAGCCTCCCTGCCGGTGCTCTGCCTCCCCCGCCTTCCGCATTAAGCATGCAACACGAGACTGTGGGAAAAGAGTGACAAAAGAACATCGAAGGAGAGCTCAAGAATTAATGAAATAAAAGCAGAAATTAATAAATTACAACATGAAAGCAGAATTGCGTTTTCTACCTAAACCTGCTCTTTTGAAAAAGCCAATAAAATAGATTTCTTGAAAGTCTGTTAAAGATAAACTAGGAATAAAACGTGAAGACTGCATTTTTTTTTACTCCCAGCCCCAAAAGCCATTGACAAGGATATTAAAATGCAAAAAAAAAAAAAAAGCTCTACACTAATACGTATTTAAAAAGGCAATTTTCTTAGAAAACTTAATTTTAAAAAATTGACTTCCAATGAACTAGAAATATGGACTAGCCTATAACTTGGGAAGAAACTGGAAGTTTGCAAAGAACACGGAATCTCCAAATAGAAGTGGCAGCCCAGGCAGCGTCACACAACTCTGTGCTCTGTCATCTGAACCAGGTGGGAGCCTGACAGCGATGGGAAACGGCAGCGCCCCTCACTCCCAGCACCTGGGCCGTGCGACCCCTCATCTCAGCCTCATGCGAACCACAAGTTATGTTCTAACTTTATTTCTGTCCCCATTTTATCAAGGAAACCGGCTTCAAGGATTTTAGAAATGTGGCCAACGTCATGCGCTAATAGTGGCAAGGCAGGGACTAGAAACTCAGCTGTCCAGCCCAAAGCTCTGCTCTTAGCCGCTGCTCTTGAAAGCGTCTCTGCCCTTCCCGAGGTCCTGATACCAAAACCTGCCGGACAGCGTCCCAAAGTTGAGCGAACCTTCTGATTCATTTCTGTTCTGGCAGAAAACAGCTCTGGGACTGGGAATGGAGTGTTTCAGAAATCACAGGAGGCCGTAACATTCCATGATGTCATTCATCATGAGAGAATGAAAGGTGAAAAACTCGATGCTCAGGGGGGAAAAAAGATGCAGGAAAGAAAGACATCTGAATAAATCCGGTATCTATTACAGGACGTTAGAAACCAAACCAAACCTTCTAAGCACTTCAAGCACTCCAGCAAGATGACCCCGGCTCACGTACCAGGTGGTGCCCGCTGACGTCACACAGGAAGGGGTGCCCACCCAGTTCATACTACACGATCGGAACACTCTTTTCTCTGCCCCCAAACCTTAATCATTCACATGACACCTGGTCATTATTTTTTTGCCACATCTGAGTATAGCCAGTTTTCCCCCTTAAATCAAGTTACTTTTATTTTTTATTTATTTTTTTTAATGTTTTTTTAAATTTATTTCTAGGAGAGAGAGAGAGAGAGACAGCGTGAGCAGGGGAGGGTCAGAGAGAGAGGGAGTCACAGACTCTGAAACAGGCTCCAGGCTCTGAGCTGGCAGTCAGCACAGAGTCCGACGCGGGGCTCGAACCCACGAACTGCAAGATCATGACCTAAGCGAAAGTCAGACGCTCAACCGACTAAGCCACCCAGGCGCCCCAAATCAAGTTACTTTTAAAATATAAATTTATTTTATGTCAAAGAACACTACCAAGAAAATGGAAACATGACCCCCAGAAGGGAAAAACGTGGTTAAGGGTCTAGTATCCAGAATATACAAAGAACTCTTAAAATTCAATGATGAAAAGATGAACTCTGAAAAAAGGGACAAAGGGTCCGTATAGACAGTTCTCTAGAGAGGATCTACACACGGCCAACAAGCATATGAAAAGGTGCTGGACATCATTAGTCATGAGAGAAATGCAAATCAGAATCACAGGAAATAGCACTGTGCCCCCATTAGGATGGCTATGATCCAAACAGAGGGAGGGGTGCCTGGCTGGCTTGCATGGATGAGTATGCGACTTGGGGTTGTGAGTTCAAATCCTACGCTGGGTGTAGAGCGTATATAAAACACACACACACACACACACACACACACATACACACACACACACACACAGAGCCAGTAAGAACAAGGGTTGAGGGTGTAGAGAAATCGGAAACCTCATCAACTAACGGCGGGAATGTAAAATGGCACAGCTACACCAGGAGACAGTTTGGTGGATCCTCGAAAAGTTAAGCACAGAGTTACCTGACCCAGCACTGCCACTCCGAGGCACACACCAAAGACAACTAACACAAATTCACATAAAAACTGCACAGAAGCATTACTCATAATAGCCAAATAAGCGGAAGCCACCCAGTTGTCCAACTGGTGACTGGACAAAGTGTGGTGTAGCCGCACCACAGGACAGTACTCAGCCTCGCGAAGGAAGGAAGTATCATTACATGCCGCAACGCGAATGAAACCTGCAAGCGCTGTGCTAAGTGAAATAAGACGGACACAAAAGGACAAATGTACGATTCTGTTCATGCAAGGAACCTAGAACAGGCAAATTCGTGGAGACAGAAAGTACAGTAAAGGTTATCAGGAACCAGGAGGAGGAAACACCAACCGAGCAAGTTCTCCCACAGCAGAAGCTGCTCATGTTCTTGCCCATCACCAGCGCGCCTCTGCCAAACCAACGTCACGTGTGCCGTCTTCACATCCACATCTGTCGCAGACAGACTTTGATCAGTTACAATAATGAAAATGCAGGGGGGAAAGGGGACCTGGAGGAGGGAGGGGGGAGGGAGGGAAAGTTATTGTTTTATGGGTAGCAGGCTTCTGTTTGGGAAAATGAAAAAGTCCTGGAAATGGGATAATAGTGACGGTGGCAAAACATGGTGAACACACTAAAACCCACTGAACTGTACACTCTGACAGCATGAATCTTACGGTACGTGAGGGGTATTTCAATTAAGGAGAGAAAAATAAAATTCCTTTTCCAAGGAAATGTTGTATTACTGTCATAAACAGAAAGTCGGCGATTTTCACATACATGATAAAACAAATGTGTGAATATTAAAATTCTGAGATGTCTCTCAGCAGATCGCTCCAACTGAGGATCATC